TTAAACCTCATCCCATTGGTCTCAGCCCATAATGTGATGAGTTGAATTGGTCTGCCATACCGAATGAACTCCATAGTCTGAGTTCTTGTTCCTGATGCGTGTGGGTTTTGAAGCTGTCAATGTGTTTCGTTCCATGAGGAGTTTAGGATTTATCTTGTTTCTTTGTTTTAACAGGATCGAAAACTTCTCGCCACGGCGCAGCAGATGCTCCAGGACAGCAAGACAAAAATAGAAGTTATAAGGATGCAGATTCTTCAGGCAGTCCAGACCAATGAACTGGCTTTTGATAATGGTGATGTAGCAGAAAGGAAATCTTAATGTCCGAATGCCGTGTGGATGTGTACCCATATGCACACAGAGTTATCATAGATTTCCAGTAGGAATGTTACACTAAGCTTGCATGAACCAAAAATAATTGGAGATCAGCCATGCCACAGTGTGTGTTAGGATGCCAGATACGTCTGATTAGAAGCAAAATACCTTAAGCTTAATGAAGAGAAATGCAATCTCTCTTCATCAACCTCACGCAGCCCATTTTTGCGGTGTGCTCTTCGTTCTCCCTTCATACACGCTTGCTCTTGTCTTACCAGTATGTACAGTAAACAGTGATTTTTTTCTTCAAAGCGTATCATCTTTTCACTAGCTAAAAATGCCCAGTACAGATACAAAGCCTGCATGTCACACTGAAATAGACTGACCTTATTATTACTAATGGGAGCACAGATGGAGGCGCATTTTTGCTGTCTTTCTGGGTATTTAGGCTAGATTAAGTAGTAACCAGCTATTTTAAAAATGACCAAAAAATAAGCATTTTTAAAACGACCTGACTTGAAATGCTCATGCTGCATTTCAGAAGTAGTTTTAAACTTGCATTTCTTTGGAAATTTTAGATAATAAGAATCTTTAAAATCACCTGTGAGCTATAGTAGCATGAGTGTACTATGAAACTGTGGGCATATTGCTACATCTCTTGAACTTTATTTGTATGCATTTCTGAGTACTGAAATTCTATGACAACACTGATAATCAGGGCCTGGATATATCCCAGATAATGAAAAACTTTTCTGTGTGATTTGTTTTCTTTGTTTTTATACTTAAGACATTTCAGGCTTTTTTTTTAATACCCCATCTTAGCACATGGATTATTTGTTCAAAAGAAAAGGAAAGGTATTCAGGCTGCAAAGGGCTTTCGAATGCCTTTTTGTGTTCCTGCTGCTCTTAGAGCTCTAAACAAAAAGGAATATTTCCAGGAAACTTTCTAATTCAGTTTAGGAAATCTAAACACTGTCAGAAGTGGCCATGAGCACGGTTAACCCACATCATCTGGGGAAGGCAGTGTATGGAAACTCTTACATCCTCCGTGCTGGCAGGAGCCAGACTCCCCGGGCATTGGTGTGAAGCAGGGGAGTTATCAGAAACCCATCAGGGAGCTACTTAGCTGCAGAGGAGTTTGAAAGAGAAATCCTCAGAGCGTGGTTCAGAAATGTGGAAGTCTCAAAACCTCCCTTTTGGCAGCTCGGTGATGTTTGGGAGATTTGGCTTTTGTCCCTTATCTCCCTGAAGCTGGTTTTTTCCTCCCATCCTCTAGCACTTCAAAGAACAGGACCTGTTTATTGGCTTGAGGCCCTGATCAGTTATTTCTGTCTTCAAATGCAGATGCTCAAAATTTCACTGTTGCTTTTATTGCATACTTCAAATTTTCTTTGGACTGCCAGACCTGCATCTCTCACTCTTCTTTTTATTTTTCCTTTTGTTTTTTTACTCTCCCCTCTGCTCTGTTTCTATGGGGGAGGGATCAATATTAAAAAAAACCTAAACGTGGGCATGGTCTTCAATGAAGATTGTTTATATCTCTTTGCAGCAAAACCTGTGATAAGCCCTCTTGAACTCCGAATGGAAGAATTGCGGCATCATTTTAGGATAGAGTATGCTGTAGCAGAAGGTGCAAAAAATGTGATGAAATTACTTGGATCGGGGAAAGTTACCGACAGAAAGGCACTTTCAGAAGTAATTTACATCATTACAATTTCTGATACTTTATTTTAAATCTTGCAAGAAACAAAAAAAATCAAAATATTTCCATTTGTTTATTTTAAAAGGCGCAAGCAAGATTTAACGAATCAAGCCAGAAGCTGGACCTCTTGAAGTATTCACTGGAACAGAGATTGAATGAACTTCCTAAAAACCATCCCAAAAGCAGTATTATTATAGAGGAGCTGTCGTTGGTTTCTTCACCCACATTAAGTCCTCGTCAAAGTGTAATATCTACTCAAAACCAGTATAGTACACTGTCCAAACCAGCAGCTTTAACAGGTATGATTCATGGAGCTTTTTTATTGTATTTAATGGTTTCAAACAAGTCTTTAATGCCAACTTTATTTCTCTCTGGATGTATTTAATTGTTGTTCTTCTTCTAGACAAAGGCATTTAGAATTTCCAAGTGCCTGTATGCCAAAAAAAATGCAGATAAGTGTCTTTGATTTATTTGTTGAAAAAGGGAAGTTCTGGCCTTAAGTTAGGTCACTATGGAACAGTCTCACTAGCACACCTAACACCTTTCCTCTTTAGATTATCAAGCACTTCAAAAGCTGGGTAAGTATCATTATCCCCATTTTACAGATGGGGAAACTGAGGTGCAGAAGGGTTAAGTGACTTACCCTGGTCATACAAGTCAGTGACACAGCTGGAGATAGGCACCCAGCTTGTCTCCCAGTCCCTGTTTTACCCACTGGACCACACTGGCTTCCTAGAAGGTGAGATTTATGCTGCCAAAACCACGTGTTGTATTTCTAAACCAAAGAGGGAGATCCTAATGGTTCCATGTGCATGGAACTCCTGAAGCCTCTCTCTATTGGTGTGAATGGTTTTCCTTGCAATTAAACATGGAGATTTTAATTGTTTTTGAGAGACTTACCCTACTGTGAGGGAGCAGAACATTTATGTATAAATATAAGACTTAGGAACTTCTCGTAGTTTGGGTTCACCTGCAATTGCTGTCCTTTATTGGAAGGAAACCGTTTCAAGAGGTGAGCCATACTTTAACAAAGCTCTTAAACATTTGCCTCCCAGCGTTCTTAAAGCAAGCAAATACTTCTGACTGCTTGGGGTATGCTGCTTTACTGACTTTATTAGATAAGTGGTCATATAAGAATTACTAGTACAGGCAGGGTTTTGTTGTTTCCTAAAACATTTTACACGTAGCTATTAAGTGAACTATTAGAGTAACTTTATTACAAAGCCAGTCTGTAATTCAGATGTTACTCTAGTTATGTGTGTGTGCTGAAACCAGAATTTAGTTTTGAGGTACTGTGGGGTTATATTGTAAAACAAAAAGAGGAACTCTTCTGCTGAGCTGCAACAGCAATAAAACAGAGCAAGGCTACTCGACTTCCATTTTGGTTCAGTAAGACACACAGCAAGGGGTAAAAAGCACCAAGAGCTCAGCCAAGAACCCTTGCGAGGTTGCAGAGTGGTGAGGGGAACGTTTCTCATCATGTGGAGTCTCGAGCAATCGCTGACCATGGGCAGGAAGTACTGTGCCTTGGTTTTAAAGCAGCTTTTTTGTTCCTCTAATACATAATCATGGGCCAGATACATTACAGTGACATAATTCCTCTTTAAATATGATTTATTGATTCATATGAAGAGTTTCTAATACAAATTATCAAAACAGAGCTACAGGCTTGTGAAGTTCTTCATAGTTTCACTTTCACATTAGCTCCACAAAGAGCTTTTGTGTTGCACTGGAGTTAAATGAACGGTGTCTTTGTGTTTTGCTTCTAACACTTTGGGAAAAAGAAATCAGTGCTACAGTCAGACTTTTTAAAGTGCATCAAGAGATACACATCCAGTCCTTGCAAGATATTACAGCCTTTTTCTGCTTTGGTTGTTCTATTTTCTTCTGAACAGAGTTTGGGAATGAAGTGTTCATTTACTTTTTAACCTGTTTTAGGAGCAAACAGCATCCTTCATCTTCATAGCCTAGTGCTTAGCTGTCACTTATGGCTGTTAGCTCCCTACAGGCTGGGATTTCTTCTCAGTCTGGTTTCTCGGTGTCTGTTCCGTGTTGCCAGACCATTTTTAGGTCAAGTTGGACTTAAGTTTCTGTCACAAAAGAGTACTTTTAAGTTTCACAGTCAAGTGCATTTGCTGTCAAAAGAAGGCTGTGTTTAGGAGCTGCATTTCTAGCTGACAGTGTGAATATGAGCTGGGTAATTTCGCCACTTCTAATAGTTAAATTTGGTAGTGCCAGTGTTGTCACAGTTTTGCAGATGCTATCTTGTACCGGATGAGGTAAGGCTACCGCTCTTAACCATCTGTGGTGTTCAGATGTTCCTGTCCTGCTGGAGGAAACTCCCTTAAATTACAACAGCAGCCTCTCTGCCTCCTTTGGTTAAAAATGTAGAGGGTTTTTGAAGATGAGCTTTTCTAAATCCAAATTCAGTCGGGTTGGATCAATTCAATGTTGTAGAAACTCAAATTTGACTTTAGCATGCAGCAGGCAAATGTGATTTCTGGAAGTTTCTTAATCAAACGCATAGTGCCCATAGCCAGTGTGTTCATTTTAAGTACCAAAGCAATGGATCCAATACTAATTGGTTCTGCAAAACTCATGAAAAGTTGTTCTTGTCCCATCTGCAAGATCCATCATTTTAACAGGGAACTTGAAATTTGTCCGCTTAAAAAAATGACATTGATTACAACTTGAACCCAATGACGCCAAGTAATTAAGTGAAGAAAACAAAGATACTTCTGAGTATTCCACAACTGCTTTGTGTTATGTTGGCGAAACGCTGCTCCTTCGAGAAGTTTGAGTCCCACATATCTGACTTCTAATCCTTATTTTCAGAATATTTCTGTCTCGAGTCTGTCTCTTGATGTCCTCTGCTCCTTCTGTTATACCTTGCGGAGGTCAGAGCGTGACCTGTTGCCATAAGTCTATCATTAGTGGTGCGGTTCGTACGCTCACGAACAGGAATCTCTGACAAATTCTTGTCTGTCTTGTTGTAGGTACTCTGGAAGTTAGGCTAATGGGCTGCCAAGATATTTTAGAGAATGTTCCTGGTCGATCAAAAGCCACATCGATTACATTACCCGGTTGGAGTCCAAATGAAGCCAGATCATCTTTCATGAGCAGAACCAGTAAAAGTAAAAGCGGGAGCAGTAGAAACCTTCTGAAAACTGATGACTTGTCCAGTTCAGTATACTCTCACTTCTCTTAGTTTTATGCTTATCTTTTATTTGCGTTTTAATGCTCATGCCATGTTAAGTAATTTAAAATACTAAATCGATTTTAAGCTTTAAACATATCTGTTTCTTCATCTGCCGAGTTGTTAAGAAAGCAAAGATAAGCACAACCACGCTATTATGCTCATGAGAACCAATTAAATACGAGATTACATTTTTAAGGAAAACTTACTGAAGATTTTTTTGTTTGTGGAAAATCCTCTTAAAGATTTAAGCTGAGTTTGTGTGCTTTACTTGCAGATGAAGTCTGTGCCGTACTGAAGCTGGATAACACTGTGGTGGGTCAAACTAGCTGGAAACCCATTTCCAATCAGTCGTGGGATCAGAAGTTTACACTGGAACTAGACAGGGTAAAAACGTGCTCTTCACTGACAGCTAGAATCGATTCTTAGATTAATTTCATGTTGCCTCCCTGCCCTTGTTGTGATTACATTCAAATTTAATACATGCAAGTATTCCCACCCTTAGCAGAATGAGCTCTGCTCCCTGCTGTTAAGCTGTTATGCTGGGCTGCCATTCTACAAATGTCACCTTTTCTGGCCTACAAACCGACCTTGTATTTTTATCCAAGATCTAACACTTAGCATCTTTTTTAGCCTGTGATAGATGATGCTTCAGTTTTTATTATGATCATCAACTTCTCGTTATTTATCAGTAAATTCTCATATCAGATATGGTTTGAATATTTTGGTAAAGCTATGTCATAGCATTTTTTGAAGTGCTTCTGTAGAAGTGGGGTTTTTTTTTTCTATCAGTGTTTAAAACAGACTGAGAGGAAGACTGTATTTTGGGAGCCTAAATGTCATCTCCAGTATATGTATTTAAAAACAAATGAGGAAGAAGAAAAAAAACCCAAGCCAAATAAAACAAAACCCAAAACCACCTTCCTGTTTTTGCTCTCTCCCCACATCACCTCACCTCACCCCACCCCTCCAAGCCCAAAACTGGATTCCTCCTATCTAAGAAGGAAGCAGTTGCAGACCTGCTGGAGGTGTTGCAGACCTGCTGGAGGTGTTGCAGACCTGCTGGAGGTGTTGCAGACCTGCTGGAGGTGTTGCAGACGTTCAGGTTCCAGTTAGAACTCGTAGCTGTGGAGTCCTGAAGCCTTGATAATTCTCAGATGAAGACCAGAACTACTCAAAGTTTAGTAGCAGCTCCTACCAGCTTCGTATGTGTCATGGTCACTCAGCATTTGGTGCTTTTTGGTGCCAGAAAAGGACCTTGCTTCTGCTGGACATGTCCACGCATCCTTCCGTGTTGGAAATGCACATTCCAAGCCCCATCGTGGTTTTACCTGTTGCTGCTTCTTAACTTTTCTTCCTTTGAAAACCTACAGCTGTCGTATAGAGACAGTAAATGAACACATCATGATGGCATTAAACTGCTAACTGAACTGAGTAACATACAGTGCTGCTGTGATACCGTATTGCAGGATTTCTCGTGCTTTGTAACAAGCATATGAGACACCCTAAGTGTGTATAAATCCCAGTGGCAAGATATAACAGTAGTTCTTGTTAATTTTTTGGCCCCTGTTCACAGCCATGGTACAAAATCTGTATGCATTTCTAGAGATACTATATAAAGTCTTGCATCATGGTTTGCATGCAGGTACTAAAACGTCACAAATGCAGTTGATACTTGTGAATACCATGGAAAACTGGTGAGGTTGAGGTTTCTAAACACACACAAAAATCTGTTGTCAGAGCTCGAGCTGAAATACCTTGAACCAGCGCTGTTGTTGGACTGACTCAGAAGCCTGGTGACTGACTGTGACTTGAGTAACAGCTCTGCCTCTTGATGCTTGAGTTGCCAGATCTTACGATTGCACAGGGGTAGCTCTTGCAGAACAATTAGTAATAAGTAATTTCCTGTGTGTTTGTTTCCTGCCGTAGTCACGTGAACTAGAAATCTCCGTTTACTGGCGTGACTGGAGATCTCTGTGTGCAGTGAAGTTTCTGAGGTTGGAAGATTTCCTGGATAACCAGCGACATGGCATGTGTCTCTATCTTGAACCCCAGGGCACTCTGTTTGCAGAGGTAAGGTTGTTTCTGTGGAACACTTGAGCAGACTTGCAAGTATTGTATTGCTTATTGGTTTAAGAAGTTTTTCTTAAACTTCTGAGAATGCATTTTGTTCTGAAACTTGAATGATAACGCACGTTATTTGAACTGCAGGTTACGTTTTTTAATCCAGTTATTGAAAGAAGACCAAAACTCCAGAGGCAGAAGAAAATCTTTTCAAAACAGCAAGGTGATTGTTTCACATAAACATGTAAAGCTTAAAAATTGCACAGACCTGTGGTACTTACACAGAGACCCAATGCTTGTCTGTGATTGCATCTGTTGATAATGAAGGAATCTGGCATTGCATTTAGAGATGTTTTTAGAATTCCTTCTTATGTATTAGCATTTAATAGTGAATAACTAGAAATTGCTAAGGAATATGACAGATTCATTATGTTCGTCATAAGATATAAACTGATTAGTACGATTTTTTTAATTATAGCTTTTGGGAATAAGTAAGGAAATTACTTGCACTCTTATTTTCTTTTTTTCCGCAATATCCACAGGCAAAACGTTTCTCAGAGCTCCTCAGATGAATATTAACATTGCCACTTGGGGAAGGCTGGTAAGAAGAGCTATCCCTACAGTCAATCACTCTGGCACCTTCAGCCCTCAAGCAGCAGTGCCTGCTGCCATGCCAGTGGTTGATGCACACATTTCTGAACTGACACTGCCAGCCAGGTGGGTGATAGCTACGATTTTTAAGTACTTTTAAGAGCAGCAGTGAGATGCTTATTCCCTAATGTACATAATGTATGTCAAATCTGTTTATCCTGCAAGACTGCAGACCTTTCAGTGGTTTAATCTTTGACATCCATTTTATAGACAGATATACACACACAAGATTTGTTTTAGGAGAAATCTACCTACCATGCAGTTTTAAGTTGGTTTTCATGCTGTTAAACCAGTCTCTGCTGTAAACTGAGGAGTTCTTCACTTTCTTGCCTTTCAGTGACTCCCCTGTAGCCAAATTGGACTTTGAACTTGAGCCTGAGCCTCCACCTGCTCCACCCCGTGCGTCGTCCCTTGGGGAAATATGTGAATCTTCCTCCGAGGTCAAGTCTCCTGACGTGCCATCTCAGGCAAGTAACTTGAAGAATTTTGGGCTGTACAGTTCACCAAGGTGCTAATGCTGGCATCTTTATGGTGGATTTCTTCCCTTCCATCTCAGCATATGCTCCTTTCACTTAGGCATACAGAATTGTCTCAACAGAATGCTCCAATTACTCATGGTGGCAAATTCTTTCCATGGTTGTTGTTTATGTCTGTGGTCATTGGTTCCACCCCAGAAAAGACACAAGCCCGAAATCATTAGAGTATTCAGGGAAAAATGCTCCAGAATGACTGGAGCAAGGCGTTTCATCAGACTGTTAAAAGCTTATCTGTATCATCTTAAAGTATACGCTTAAATAATTCTTGTGGAAGAATTTCGTGTGCTTTTGTAGTGAAATTTCTGCATTCATTTGCCTTCACGATCAGTTTTAGATGTTCAGACCTCTTTTTCTTCGCAGGATGAAGTAACAGCTTTTGATTTTGAAAATGGCAGAAACAATATTGTCCCTAAACTCCAGCCTGAAATAATCTGTGAGCCTGATGCTCCTCGTTCAGACATCAAATACACCAACACCCGAGAGCCTGAAGACAGAAGGTAAAACTGCAGTGATTTTGCTGTTGATCTGAACAATATTTCTTGGGTTAACAAACTACAAGATATTTTCCCTTTTTTTTTTAATTTACATAGATCACAACAAAGATTTCAGTTCAGCCTGAAGGATTTCAGATGTTGCGCTGTACTGGGCAGAGGACATTTTGGAAAGGTAAATGTCAAAAGGCTGCACCAAATGTCAAGGCTGTATCAGAAACCAGGTACAGCTCTGAACTGAATCGCTTCTCTTCTGTTGTAGGTGCTGCTGGCAGAGTACAAAAACACAAACGAGATGTTTGCTATTAAAGCCTTAAAGAAAGGAGATATTGTCGCTCGTGATGAAGTAGACAGGTCAGCTTGTAAAATATAATACATGGAGTCCCTAAATCAATTGTGTTTTCTTTCTGCATGCAACACAACTGTAAGCTCTACCAAACAAGTTAAATTTAGTGAAAGAATTTGGTGAATTCATTTAAGTGCCGTTTAGGTTCTCTTTCCATCACTTATTCTACTTACTTGTTCACAGACTTCCATCGCATTGCAGTTTTCTTTACTGGCAGAAACACCTACGGTGGTGTTTCTCAACCAGTCCCATACTGCTGTACTTTGCCCGTCATATTTTCCTTTAACACATTTTCCTGTGTATACTCCACTGCTGGTTTTTGGTTTTTAATCTTTTTGTCCCAAAACTCAGATTTTTTTTTCTTTGCTTGGAAGTGAAGTGGCAGTTCCAAACTGTCTGGTTTTAGTGCAAGAAGGTGCTTTTACAACTGTTCAGTAGTGGCTATGTTCATTTGACTTGTGGGGAGAAAGATAACTGTTCTAAGAATAAGCTACAAATTAACCAGTTGGCTTAAGGAGAAATAAACTGGAATTACTACAGATTGCTCTGATATTGTTGCTGGTTTTCCACTTTATTTTAATTTTAATCATATACAATACATAGATTGAAGCTAATGTCAGATGGTATCAGTGCATACTTAATGCAAGTCTGAATATTTGGAAGAGAATTGGCAGGGTACAGCTGCCATGGGCTGCCAGGTTTCCTTTTGCATTTGTCAAAGCTCAATGCAACTTCATGGAAATCCTGGCATCAGCTGAATGTGTGTGCGAGTATGAAAACTTCTCTTAAAAACAAAAAATGTTCTTATCATGCTGAGGAATAGAGGGGAAAACATAAGGTATAAATTACCAGTAATTTCTGAGTTGAAGAACTGCGGTTTGGGATTCAGCTGTAAAACTTTCACTGCTTTCTGTTTGCAGCTTGATGTGTGAAAAGCGAATATTTGAAACTGTGAATAGTGTCAGACACCCCTTCCTGGTGAACCTCTTCGCTTGCTTCCAAACCAAAGATCACGTTTGCTTTGTAATGGAATACGCTGCTGGCGGGGACCTGATGATGCACATCCACACTGATGTCTTCTCTGAACCCAGGGCAGTGTGAGTAGCCCTCCTTTTTGTGGCAGTAAGCATTCAGTGGATAAGAACGAAGGTTTTTATCAACATAAGCCTCTATGTTCTCTCCTTTCAATAAAAACTGTGTAGGTTTTATTTAAGGGTCAGAGTTTCTAACTGATTTTGTTAGAAAGAGACACACGCAGGTTTAATCCACACTGAATTCAAAAGATTATATACAAATACTTATTTATAGTACTTCAAAAATTACATTAGAAAGCTAAATGAAAAGTTAAAATAGCAGATAAGGCTGAAAAAAAAAAAGGGAAGAATAAGGCAAATTATAAATCCTCTGATGCCATGGCAGTGAAAACTCCTCTCCAGGCTGGGCAAACACACGACAGCTGGAAAGCTGCAAGTTTAAGCATTTTACCATCTGGCTTTAAAACTCCGACCTTGTCTAAAACTAATCTGTACCTGAACAAAACCAATCGGTGATCTTCAGAGGATGGTTAATAAAACAGATCAATAATAATGGACTTCCCATTCTGAAAAGCAGGACTAGAATCCACTGAAATCTTAACTTTCTCAACAGATTCTATGCTGCGTGCGTGGTTCTTGGACTCCAGTATTTACATGAACACAAAATCGTGTACAGGTAAGCAGTCGTTAGGTGAATTTCAGCTGTTCTGAACAGCGCTGAAGGAACATCAGTGATGCCATTTTGTTCTTAACTCTTCATTTAGAGATTTGAAGTTGGATAACTTACTCCTGGACACAGAAGGTTTTGTGAAGATTGCTGACTTTGGTCTTTGCAAAGAAGGTACCGGCCCTTTGGTTTTCTTTCTAGGGGAGTGCTGTGCTCTGCCTTACTCTTGACTTTTGGGCTGCTGAACGTAGACAGTGTGTACTTATCTGTATCATTGGAAGGGAAGAATACATCTCTGATAGTGCAGATGTGGAGATAGGAGGAAGCAGGCATATATCAGGAGTATCTGAGCATGGCCCTGTTTTGTATTATCTTTTATTTTAGTTGTGGGCATCACCAATTTTGATTCTTACCTCATCTCTCTGCTTATTACAAGTCAGCAGAAAAAGCATTGGTGTTTCTCCTCATTCTAAACATGGTGACCCTGTACAATGAAATCAAGTACCCTTGTAATCCATACCTCACTGGTACTTTTTTTATATATATAAATTAATTCTCTGGGCTTTTAACTCTGAAATAGCTGCAACTCTTAAGTATATGGAATTGACATGCACAGTGTGCTATGGTTAATGTGGGGAAAGTTACCCCAGAAGGGAAGCTGAGATGCTAGAAAGTCACTTTCAAGCATCCTGCTATTGGCCAACTACCTCTCAACTAAGACTTAAAATAAGGTTAGCAACTGCAAGTGCAGTGTCTTTCTCAACCCCCCCTGTGGGGGAAGATCTGGAGAAGTCCATTTTCTTCTCCAGTTTGGATAGCCTGTCCTCCATACCTTTTCCTTTCAGATAGCCTAAGAGGGAATCGAGTAGGTTTGGTAGGTGTTCAAACACATCCACTGCCTTTAACATCCCAGGGCCAGCGCTGTGACTTCAGCTGCAGACGAGTTCCACAAATGACAAAAGGAAACGAGGACCAGGAAAGCTCTTTGTTTGCTTCACTGACTGCTACAGTAAATGGTTTTCTGAAGCTCTCCACAACAGCCACTGTGGTGCTGATGTCCCAAACTGGGCCTCTCTTGCAAATACACAGGGCTTATTTTGCTCAGAGTTTCACTTCACTCCACGTTTTACTTTGCTTTGTGTAGTTGTACCACTACAGAAGCACCCATAGTTGGACTAAACTGCTATAGCACGTTCTCTTGTACTAGCTAGTAGGAATACAGCATAAGATTGATTGTATCTTTCCAAGCAAAGATAACTGGGTGACAAAGGTGTCACTGGAAGGTTAATCTGGCTCTTTGCATATGGTTAGAGATGGAAAAACCTCCACTGAAGCACAAGGGTGTGGGAGGGCAGAGTGGGGAATGTTTTACCTCCTTGGCCTGAGCCTTCAGGACAGGCCCTGGGCCTGCAGTATCAGCTGAGGTTGCTCTGGAGAGGTTTTATTTGCTGGAGGAATAGGTTTGGAGTGGCAGAAAATACTTCTTGCTTTTCATTACCGTTTCAGGAATGGGATTTGGAGACAGAACCAGCACGTTCTGCGGCACACCGGAATTTCTTGCTCCAGAGGTGCTGACAGAAACCTCCTATACACGAGCTGTGGACTGGTGGGGGCTTGGTGTACTTATCTATGAGATGCTAGTGGGTGAGGTAAGTTCTGGAAAGATACAATGGAGTCCTAACACTTACGTTAATAAGGCTACAAAACTCAAGAGAGCAGCCTGTCAACATTTAATATGCCCTGCCTGTCACAGCTGTATCAGTATTTGTATATACAGGACGTACAGGCACACCTAACTTCACAGTGAGCATCTTCATGGGTTTCACCGAGTATTAAATACCAAGCAGCTCCTCACCCGATCCCAGGTGCTGTAATGCCATAGAAACTGATGAGCTTGAATTACCAGCAGTTCTGGAACTGAACGAGTCGTCCAAGACTTCACCTCTAGATCTTTGTTTTACTTTAATTACCTCATTATGCTTTAAATCAGGTTACAGTAAAGGCACACTAATATCGGTGTCCTAAAGCACGAACGTAGCACATCTGGATATGGGAAGTTCAGATTTGGATCATCACATGAGGAGGTGTACAGCTGTAGCAGTCTGCTTTAAACGGGGAAGAAAATGAACTCCTTCCCTTCCACTCAAGCAACAGGAGTTAACTGATTCATAAAACTGGAGAGTGGTGAAGGATGATGGCAGCAGCAATGCTGTTTGCCACTGGAATTACACAGGCACTGAAAGAGAACGCCCCAGTTCCATGTAAATGAGCTGCTATAAATAAATGACTATTGATGAGTTATTTACCATGGCATATATTGCTTTGCCTTCGGGTCCGTCTTGTTACAGCATCTCCCAGGTAGCACAGTGATGCAGAAGGTCAGATGAATACTCCAGATTTACTATGATCCTATGGTAGAGTTTATGACTTGCTCATCACTTTGTTCTTCCAAAAAAAGATGATCATTCAGCTTCCTCTCAGGTACAAAAGGACACAAAGCCTGTAGGGTGTCACCTGCATCTGTCAGGCCACTTCAGAACAGTTTGAAAACCCTTGAGCTAAAGATACTGTAAAAACAAATTAGTCTTGACCACGTCACTTGTGAGCAGCAGCTGTCCCAAAGAGCTGGGACCCGCTTTCCACATTCCCTGTGTGTCTCCTGGCAGAGCTCAAAGCAGATCCCACTTTTAGGTGTTTCTACTTCCAAAAGCACCTTTTTAAAGCACAGCCCTTCAGTAAAAATTAAGGGATAACACCAACGTGCCCTACTTTTCCTTATGGGAAACCACTGTATGTTTGTGAGAAAAGGAAGACTTAACTTCAGGGTGTCTTAATTAACAGAATATGAGTTGTTTTCTATTGTAAGGGCTTTTTAAGAGTGTTTAATAGTATTTTTTTAATTCCTTTCGTTGTAGTCTCCCTTCCCTGGAGATGACGAAGAAGAGGTGTTTGACAGTATTGTAAATGATGAAGTAAGATACCCACGATTTCTGTCTACAGAAGCCATCTCTATAATGAGACGGGTAAGAACATACTCTTGTCTCAGTATTCCCCTCTTGTCCTGCTTCCTCTCCAGCTGTAAGGAAATTAATTACACTTCTGAGGAACAAAACAGTTTAAGAACCCATTCCTGGTAATTTTTTCTACAATTAAATGCCAGAATTGCTTTGTTTCTGCTGCTCCATGCTGCCTATCACCTCAAATAAAAACTGTCAGTGCCATCCCACTTTATTCAGGAGCAAGTTTTTCTTGCTGAATATAAAACGTGAGGCTCTGTGCTCTCCCTGTTTCTTTTCACCCTAAGTTTCTGAGTCACTTCTCACTCGGGAAGTTCAGCTCTCGTTCCCAGCAGAACACTGCTGCATTGACCCATTTGCCAGATTAACGTTGTCACATGAATATTTCAATTCAAAGACTTCTAAATCTTTTTGGTTCCGGTCCAACTGGGGCAGGGAACACCGTACCCACGGTGTCTGCAGTGCTCTCGGCAGGGCACAGCTGATTCTGTTTGACTGTTAGTGCTGTGCCTTAGCGTAATGCCTCTACTTATCTCAAGATGATGCTTGAAGCTGTCTTAAGCTCCACGGTCATCCCAGCTGACACAGAGGCACCTACAGGAGAGGGTTCAAAGCCTTTCCAGTTGAGTATCTGATACTCAGCACCCAGTGCAGCAGTGTGCTGCAGTGTGCAACCTCTGACACTGCTGGCACTGGGCTCTGCTCCCAGCAGCACCATTCGCACAGGGGAGCCTCTGACTTGTGTTAACTAGAAAACCCTGGTATTGGGCTGGGTGGGTGAAGCAGCATCAGCCCCCTCTCGGTGCATCCACTGCTGTGAAATAGCTGGCACAGGAGCCATGCAGGAAATCCTGGCTGGTGCCAGTTGTGTCCTCGCCAGCAGAAAGCACGCTCTCCAGTGTCTGTGCTGAGCTGCGACCCCACAGATCCCCTCGGGCACCACAGGTCTGCTGCTTCTGGCTCTGTACAGCTGAAGTTCTCTCTTCCCCTTTGAGAAGCGAGAATCTTCTGTGGGTCAGGCAGTGTGAATTCACCGTCCATCTAGTCTTGGCGCTGGCTCTTTCACAACTTAGCCCTCGCTCGCTCTCCTCAGTTCCTCCCCCGTACCTGAATTTTCGCACTGAAATCTCCCGTTTTTGTCAGCTGCTACGAAGGAATCCAGAGCGGCGTCTGGGAGCTGGAGAGAAAGATGCTGAGGACGTGAAGAAGCATCACTTCTTCAGGGTGAGTACCAGCTCGTAGTATTTCTGCAGGCGCTAAGGAGCACAGACAGGGAACTAAAGCGCGGTTGGTTTCTTTTACAGCTAATAGATTGGAATGCTTTACTGGCCAAGAAGGTGAAGCCTCCTTTTGTACCCACCATTAGAGGCCGAGAAGACGTCAGTAATTTTGATGACGAATTTACCTCCGAAGCACCTATCCTCACTCCACCTCGGGAACCGCGGATACTGTCGGAAGAAGAGCAGGAAATGTTCAGAGATTTTGATTACATTGCTGATTGGTGTTAACTCCCAGCCACTGTGAACCCCCGCTGACCGGCTCACAAGAATGCCTCTCTCAGACGAACACCGACCCTTCGATTGCTCTCTGTGCCACCTGTAGCTTCTGGTTTTTTAAATCACATGAAGATCCTTTTAAGTACTGTTGTAACGCTCTTGTGAAGAGCGGCCTCTTTGTATATTGTTTTTTATCTGAGCACTGGAAAGCAGGTCTGTCGAGTTCCTAGGCTGAGCTGGTGAATCCAGGCTGTATTAAGCTTCCCCCACGCGGGCACACGTGGATCTGTCCTGTTTCTCTCACTCTTCTAGAGCAGAAAACATCACTGTCAGTACCTGCCCTAAGTGGGAAAAGCAGACTTTGAGCTGGGTAATCACTTCTCTCTACTCAGCCACATGGAAATGAAGTGTGGGACACTGGTGACACTCACAGCACACGGTTCTAGCTGGAGAAGGCAAATTATTTCAGTTCAATATTATCTTTTGCAGTCTATAAAACTACACATTTCTATGTACACCTTCATCTTGTGTTCTTCAAATAATGGTATTGAGAACAGATATGCCTTGTTTTGTAAATTTTCTATGGTATTTATTAGGAAACAAACGTTAAACGCCTTGCCTTTGAGATCACAACAGTGTAAGTGCTTCCACGACAGAGAAATCCAGACAAACTCCAGAACGTTTACCAAAGCCACTTGCCAAACAGTTTTGCCTTCAAGCTTTCTCAGCACGGCTCAAACCCTGGTCCATACAAAGAATGTGAGGAGGAAGTTGCTCAGTCTGACCGCAAAGAGCGAAGCCCCCCAAGCCCATCCACTTCTGCACCCAAGCTCTTGCCTTCCCCACTCCCCGAGTGGGCAGATAAGTTACCCTGTACCTGACCCCCTCCATCACCCTCTCTCTGCTGTACAGTATCGTATCACCGCTAGAAAACATAAGGATTTTCAATGTATACATGCTGTGAACATGTGTATTTGGAAGTTGTAATGTATTATGTCCAGGCAAGTAACTTAATTGTACCACTTCATTAATTTGGCACAGCGACCACCACCGAGCGCCGAGTGAAAGAAATCCTTGTATACACACAGGCCGCTGACTCCAGACCTTGGATTGGCAGATACTGAGGGTAAAAGCAATACATCATACAGAATGTATAACTGTTTTTTATAAAACCAGTGTGTATTTTATAAACCCCTTAACACTAAAAGCTGTACCTCAAAAGCTGAAAAAATAATGTAGACCAGCCACTGTGCGTACCTGGAAACCGGGACCTCTTTTTGGTGTCTGGTGTTCTGCGGGCAAACGTTCGCTCCCGGAAAATGAATGTCCCGGGTGGTCCTGCCGTGCAGCACCAACTGCCTCATCTCCCAGGGCCACCCGAGCCAGGAGGCTGCTGCTCGTGGGCTAAGACAGAACCAGCACTGGTGGTTTTATTGGAGGAAGAAAAGCAAACCCCTGGGGTGCGCAGCACGAAGGGGGTTGGTTCAAACCATGGCGCTGGACAGACCCGCAGGGTCAGGCAGGGGAGAGGTAAAATTGCAGGGTGAGTAGGTCTGAATCAGGAGCTTTCCCCCCCAGGAACAAGGAAGGCATCGCTTCCAGCTCCACAAATCGTGTTTGGCAGAGTGGGGACGACTGAATTTGTTCCCATAACAAGTGATGTATCGAGCTGAAACCAACACTTCTGAGGTACAGTCAGCCACCGCTTCTGGCTCCCCAGTGCGTCTGCGTGAGCATCTAACGGGGTGCTTAACACTTGCAAAAGGATCCTCAAAAAAATACCTTTTTTGTAACTACATCTTGTACAGAAATCTTTTTTAATCTAAGTAAATCACTAAAAACAAAAATGTAAAAAAAAAAAAAATTAGAGGGCAGGGTATGTTCACCCAGTTAAGCTGAAAGAAAGCACTAATTTTATCTCTGTAGTTTTTTAAATATTTTTAGGCAGATTAAGATTTTAAACCCTAGATTGTAAATATATTTTGCTATACTTTATCTGTATGTGGCTGCTCAAGCACTTTGTAAGGAAATTAGGATATTTTAGAATGGTACACTATGCATTAAAATGAAATGTGCCTTTAACAAATGTCATTCTAAGTGTTTTGCAGTCATTAATATCACAAATTAAAGAAGTTTTAAATAGAGTAATTTGTAAATTGTGTCCCAGACGTGATTTTGCTGTTTCTTGCAGTGACTTGTCCCGTTTTCTCCACAGGAAACTTCACAACAGACCTTGCACTCAGGACGTAAAGAAACCCGGTCTCGTAGCGATAGCGCAGTGCAGGCCCACTCATTAATTATTTAAGAATCAAGTTCTGCACTCTCGTACCTGTTCAAGCTGAAGGAGCAGCCTCCTCTCGCTCAGGGAGCAGACGGCGCTGTCTGCTGAGGCCTGGCCAGGGTCAGTCATCATCTCCCTCCGCAGGGCTCCTCTGCGGGCAGGGGACGCGCGTTCATTTGCGTCCCCTCCTGCCCCTCCACCCCTGTGCTCTGTGACCGAGCAGAGACCTGAACCGGGCCCACAGGGACTTTGTTCTTTGTTAGCAAATGAAGCTTGCAGAAAAGCTTAGTTTTGCTCTTCAGAGCAAACTGGGATTTCAGACGAGCCCACGGCCTAGGGACAAGTGCTGAACTCCAGCACTGAGCTCCAGTCACTCCACAGAGGGCGGGCTCCAAAGGAAGGCACAGGCACTTTCCATGCTCTGGTCTACACGGCAGTGGAATTAACGCAGGAAGCACCTGAAGATCCTGTGCCGCTGCACTGACTGTGCCTGGGAAGCGCAGTCCCTCAGCACTCCCCTCAGGGCTGAGCCACCTCCAGCAAAGACCTGCACAGAATCACAGAATCCCAGAGCGTTAGGGATTGGAAGGGACCTCCAAAGCTCATCCAGTCCAATCCCCCTGCCGGAGCAGGAACACCCAGATGAGGTTGCACAGGAAGGCGTCCAGGCGGGTTTTGAATGTCTGCAGAGAAGGAGACTCCACAACCTCTCTGGGCAGCCTGGGCCAGTGCTCTGTCACCCTCACTGAGAAGAAGTTTCTTCTCAGATTGAAGTGGAATTAAATTCTGGTTCCCCAGCCCAGCAGGGAACCAGCACTGAAACCCCAGAGCTGCAGCCAGGCTCCTCGCTTGTGCTTCAGGCTCTGTCCTACAGCCTTTAGGAACGTGAAGGTATTTGGCTACAGCAGGCTGGGAGCGCAGAGCTCACCAGGAGCAAGTCTCAGTCAGGACATGGCTGGTGAGTGGCACTCGGGGGGACAGAGGTAACCCCAATGACTACAGGAGGGCAGCAGCGCTGCAAAAACATCCTTTGCAGCTCCCTGCACCCCCAGAACTGCTGCTGTACCACAGCTGCACACAGACATCCCCCACGCTGCCCCAAACAAGAGCGGCCCGTTTCTGAAGTGGAAGCTCCTGTAATAGAAGCCAAATTCCTTACCTTCATCAAAGCAGCTTGCTAAAGGAGTCCTGGCTGCCTGGGCATTAATTCAGAGTTACACAGTTGTTCAGGTTCCCCTCCCCGCCCCATGAAGTGTTTCACTTTAACCATAGTTTACTGGGACCAGTTAGAACTGGTCTTCAGAACACACGGCCCCTTCAAGCTGTGCCTCTTTGGGCTGCGCCGCTCCTACCACCAAGGGAGGTACAGGAACTGCCTGCAGAATTGGAGGAAGAGGCAGGGTCAGGCCAGGATGCTGCTGCGCTCCAGAGCCTCGCACAGATGCGTTTCCATGTCAGTCCTGTAACCGTTTCAACCACAAACACTCGTTGCTCACACGTCGAGTGCTCGGCTGTAACCCCTGGAAGCATTTAACACAAGAGCATTATAACAAATTTAAGTCTCAATCATTTTTTTAACCCGCATCGAAGAGATTTAACAAACTGATCTGTGCTGAGAGCTCTCACCCTTACATTCCCAAACTGTAACAGCAAGGGCTGGGGCCTGCCTGTTCCTAAAGCATCACCTCCCACAGAGGAACACTGACACAGCAGCTCAACGCCACACAGGGAGAGCCCAGGTAACAGAAAAAGCTGCAGCAAAGTTCAAGGAAATACACGAGAACACTCCCTCCAAACCACCCCGACCCCCACACCTTTAACATCTGCACCAGAATTTTTGGTGACTGAAACCAGCAGCCTCAGTGTACCAGAACTGTACGGCCTTTGTTACTTGTTTACAGAAAAAACGTTGAGCTACCACATTTCAATAGTCTCGACTGGCAGAAGAGGATTAAAACTAAACCAGAAAGCAAACAGTGAGGGCAATTGACAATTAGTGCTATTAACACTGGACACAGCCTGCCCTCTGGATGGCTTAGGACCAGATGTGCAGCCAGCCAACCCCCTCAGCTGTTTATGAGGAAAATAAATGAAAATAAACTTGCACCTGCAACACAAAATTAACTCAGGACCCAGCAGGCTCCCAGTTCAGTGCAGTTGTTGCTTTGCACACAAGGGACACTGGCAGGAGGCAACTCCTTCCCAAAGCTCAGTCTGGGGAGAGCTGAGGAACTCCTGGCCTTGGCTCCTCAGCACCTGGTGCATCATTTCAACGAGCAGGGCTCATGCCAAAAGCTTACCCACAGCCCAGGCAGACTGACACGGCACAGCATTTACCATTAACTTTCACTAGAAACACCTTTTACCTGGCTTTGTACAGTGCCGAGCATCACAACGTTGTCAGGAGCTCAGCTAAAGGAGGAGTTGTGGTGTTTCTCTTTAGCTTCACTGTCACAATGTCAAACTCACAGAAGCAAAGACATCAGTGAAAATGAGACCCAGCAATCCTTTCACAGGAGATGTGGAAACCTTCAGCTGCAGTTGTGCAAATACTCAGACATTTCAGCAACTGCCTGCACTCTGAATCACAGCATCACAGAATGTGAGGAGCTGGAAGGGCCCTGGAGAGCTCCCCCAGTGCAACCCCTGCCACAGCAGGATCACCAGAGCAGTCACACAGGAACACGGCCGTGGCTTTGGGGGTCTCCACACAAGGAGACTCCACAACCTC